CCAGACTATCGCCAAGTCAAAATGCGGGCGCGCACATCAGGTCCTCCAGCCATCTGGGGTTAGCAACTCGGTGTCAAGACAAGGGTGGAATTATGTCCCCACGTCTCTTTTCTAATCTTTATATTCCGATGCATCTGTCAAGCCGCTGAGATCACCTGTAACGCTACTGGATGCACTGATTGCGTATACCCTAGTGAACCATCACTTATGTATGCAACGATGATCTCTGTTGTGGGCTGAGTCCATCTAGCGCGAATGGCTTCAGCAGCTTCTTGCTGTTTGTTCTGTGTATGGTGTGGAACATGACATCAAATACAACGCAAGTAAGAGTGCTGTCATGATCTTTAGAACCAAAGAGGACAAATGTCTAAAATGTCCTGATTTTAAATTGTCTGATATTAATCTTAGTGTCTGTAATAAGTTAAAATATCTTGGACACTTTATTAGAGAACAAATGACAGATGATGAAGATATTTATAGGCAATGCTGCATGATGTATGCACAAGCAAACATTCTCCTCCGCAAGTTTGGTTCATGTACAGATGGAGTGAAGATGTCTCTGTTCAGAGCATATTGTACACCACTCTATACTGCACATTTGTGGTCAAACTACAGAAAAACAAGTTTACGGAAACTTCAAGTAGCTTATAATGATGCCATGAGAATATTGCTGAAGAGACCTCGATGGTCTAGTGCAAGTGAAATGTCTGTGGCTGCAGGAGTCAATACTCTACAAGCTGTTTTAAGAAATCTCATGTATAAATGTATTTGCCGGCTTAATGACTCTGATAATGAAATCCTCTTGGCCTTATCGAACATAAGGTTTAGTACTACACGCTACCAATCGCAGCTGTGGAGACATTGTTATAGTTGTCTCTTTGTAGGACACTGATTTAAATGATTGTTAAACTATGAATTTCTTTTATGCTGTGTATGTAATTTATTATATGTAATGCCTTGTCTTTTATCTATGTAATGTCTTGTCTTTTATCTATGTAATGTCTTGTTTTTTATCTGGACCCTGAGTCTGTAATAAAGTTTTCATTCATTCATGGCAATTCCTTCAGTGTGACTAATCATACTGACTCATCAGTACAGTGACATTGGCCTTGTTAACCTGTATTACTATTCAAGTTTGCTGCATTTAGTCCTTTCTTGCTCTCCTTATCTATGTATTGTATCTTTTTATTTACATATTTTGAGTTGGGGCGTATGTTCAGTGTGTGTATTTGTGTCTATATCACAAGTAATAAACAAAGTGTCCGTCAAAAATACGTCTTTATCGCTGGCAAAGCTTGAAGGAAGCACATGTGTGGTGTGTGTACCATACAATCAATAAATAGGGAAAGCTTGGTTGCTATAAACATACTAACAATACAGTATATATTTATTTCTACACCTGCTTTAAGTATCAACACACCTATATCTTCCTTCACGTGAACAAAACACATAGGCTACATGAACACATACACACACGATGACATTGCATAAAACGTTGTCTAAATAGTTTGGCGTTGTTCAATCAGATAATGATGATGTCATTTGTGGGGGATGTGATAGACAACAGGGTGCCGTCAAATTAGAAGACCGCCCTGACTGGACTGAGAACACAACCTCACACACACACACAAACATGCACACACACACGCATGCCAAGTTCATTGTGCTTTATTTCCACCACAGCCCAAAGAGGCTACTTAACCCGTGTTTCTGCATTAGGTGTGTGTGCTTCATGAGATATATAGTCAGTAGGGAACTGGGGCAGTGGGGCAGTAATACATGTCATCTGGGTGGGTCTGTGGTTTGTAACCTTTGCCCCACATATAGAGCTCTGTGTGTTTCCAGTGTAAATAAAACGGTGAAACAGCAAAAGTACTTAACAAGGCCCATGTGTTCAAACACACCCACTGAAATGTGCTAATGAACTCACACTCACGTGTAGGACCGAAACAGAGCCTCACACTCACAAGAACATACAGACAGGAGGAGAGTATGTTGTTTTAGAAAATGTACGGACACACATTGTAGATATGATCTCTGATTTGACACACACAGAGAAAACTGCACATTCAGCCAAAGGTTATGCAAGCATGCGTGAGGGACTGGGTGTGTATTATCAGTTTGTGCTCCACATGTCTTCGAATTGCAAAAGCATTTTAAGGCAGACCTACAGTATCTGAGCACTTTTTCAGATCAGCTACACCTCTGTATTCCTTAATGTCCACTAAACTATAATCCATTATCAATCATCAATTAATAAGAAATGACAGAGAGCCTACATCTAAATAAATAAATGCCTGCTTTATTCTTGAATTACCAGCACTGTGAATCCTAGCATTCATTTAAAGATTAAGAGACACTACTCTGTGTCTGAGAAAGAGAGACAAACACACAAAGAGATAGGCAAGACTTTTTAAATGTTGCACTTACCCAGTCCAGTCACAGTGATTCTGGCCTGGGCCTGGATCCTGCCGAAGTGGTTCTGAGCCTCACAGATATACACCGCCTCATCCTCCACCCACAGCTCTGAGAGAAAAAGGGATATTTAGGCATAAACATAGAGCACTTATGTGTTTAATATGTATTCACATATACCACAGAGGAACTCACTGGTGATACGTAGGGCTCCCGTGCTCTGTGTGACCGTGCCATGTGTGCGGCGCCTGTTGAATATCGGAAGTCCATCCTCTCTCCTCCAGCTGACCTGTGGTTCGGGGTGACCTTGGGCGAGGCACAGCAGGGTCACATTGGAGCCGATTTCAGACCCCACATCTGACGGTTCTCGGGTGAACTCGGGTTGGGCTGGAACATGAAGATGAAGATGGGAAAGGTCATGGTTTAGGAGATTCCTTTATATCTGTATCGCATCCTACAGACAATCAAGCTGTCCATCATGTAAGCTTGGGATGTTCATGACTCATTTTAGGACCAGATGCTTCTAAGTGTTCAACATAAATTATACAGCGAATAGAGATTTCATTATCAAGTATTATTACATGGCTTCGTTGAATACTCGATTCTGATTGTTCAATTCGATCCTTTTAGAGGTTGATATGACAGTAGAACAGACCACTGTTAAGCACTTTAATGACCATTGCTAAGGAAGATCAAAAGAGAGAAAGGAAAAGAGGTTAAAAGACAGAGCGCTAGACATCAGATAAATCAACAGAAGCCGACAGACAGGAAGAAACACTTAAAGGAACACGGTATGGGCTCTGTCATGTTTAAGGACTTGTTATTGGAAAATAAACTGTGAACAGACTTGGGCAGCCACAGAAAACATAAATCAGAGCTGCCTTCATTGTAAATGCAGTTGTTGTTGTTGTTGTTGTCGGAGTTCCAGCCGTTGGCGCGCTGTGGAACCGACTTTTTATTTTTTGCGGAAGCAATGTGACCATTTTTAAATCAATAAAATCATTTAAATTAATATTGGGAGTCAAGTCGTTAGTTTGTTTAGCATGTGGCCGTGTAATAAGCGGGATAAAGTGCAGCGAGGTGGGCATTATTGGAAAAAGAACATACAACAGGGTGATCATGGAACATTTAGGGGTTCAATATGTGACATCTGGGTATGCAATTCACAACTGTGGTAAGGCAACACAAGTAGTAATTTACCCATTTATTAAGATCTTGTTCTTGGTTCATAGTACTGAATAGTGCGTTTACAAGGTTAACTAAACTTGGTCTCACCTCCAACATCGAGAGAGATCTTTGCTGACGAGGTGCCGGCAGCATTGACAGCTGCACAGGTGTAATCTCCTGCATCCACATCCTGCGTCTCCTTGATGGTCAGAGTACCTCCTAATGCGTCCACTACCAAGAAGGATGATGAATGCAGCTGGACATCACCTAGCATTAAGAACAAAATCCATCAGAGGAGGGTGGTTAGCTAGTTTTTTTATATGGATTGTGTAAGCAAATAGGGAGGGAAAATCTAAACTTCTCAAAACTCCTGTGCAATACATGTGTATGTGATTTGAATGGGGTTATATTTTAACTCCACGCTGCAAACTGAATTCACAAAAGAATTGCGTAGCGTTTGCATATGCCAATGATGCACAATTCACAGTGCTTTCAGTCTCTGCAAGTCATTCTTCATGAATTCTTCTAAGCTTTAATTACTTTTAACAAGCATATATTGTTTTGTTGTACTTCATTTATTTTCAACGTTTACCTTTGTACCACAAGATGTCAGGCTGTGGGATTCCAGACGCAGAGCAGGCCATCACTGTGGTTTCTCCAATGCCAATGAGAATATCGCTCAAAGCCACTGTCACCACCGGAGATTCTAGAAGAATTGTTGAACAATAGACCGAACATCAGTATGATATAGAAAGGAAAATGAGATGCAGTGCATACTGTAGAGAGGTGCTTATTGCAGATTAGGTTCAGTTACATTACATTACATGTCACTTGTTAGACGCTTTTATCCAAAGCGACTTACATACATTCAGTGCTGTGGACAATCCCCACAGGAGCAATTTGGGGTGAAGTGTCTTGCCCAGGGACACAACCACATGCTGACTGCAGTGGGACTAGAACTTGCTACCCCCTGATTCAAAGTTCAGCGCACTAAGTTCAGCACACTATATAACTGAGCCACAGCACTATCCCACTGAGCCACAGCCTCCCAGTTCAAACGTTGAGGCTTTGTTAATTGGTATCCCAATTTGGGATAAATAAAGTATATATCTATTTATATATCCATCCAACTCTAAGAATTGACTGTAGATATGAATGATTGTCTGTAAGTATGTGCTACCACCAATGACTCTATGGAAAGAAAATATGGTTAAGATAATTATTCAGTCTGAGTTTTGCTTCTATTAAACCGTAAAATGTCCCTGCTGTGTGACTGATGAACTGTTATGTACTTTTATCTTAATAATTGTATGCATGTGCTCTGTGGCACTCACCAATATAAGTAAGGGTGGAGGTCACTGTGTAAGTCCCAGCCTGGTTGCTGGCCAGGCAGCCATACACTCCTCCATCCTTTTTCTCCATGTTTCTTATAACCAGAGTGCCATCAGGAGTCATCCTGTGTCTGAACACAAACAAGATTCACAATTTATTATTTTTATTTCAGCGTGGTCACAAATGGAAAAGAGAAGAAGTAGCAAAAACTAAAATCTGCTTATGTAAAGTATGAAAGGAGGACTTCACCTGCTGGTGGCCATGATGAACATGTCGTTGTGGGTCCACACGAGACGGGGGGGAGGGTATCCGCTGGCCGAGCATCTGATCCTTTTTTCCTCTCCTGCTGTAAAGCTTTGATTCCAAGGCTCTACCGAAACCCTGGGCGCCTCTAGAGAAAAGAGAAGGAATTCAACAATATTTCTTTAAGTAAATCAATATCCTCTCAAATCAAGTCAATAAATAAATTACATTATTCCTATAGAAAAACATGACAGCGTCTTTGTGATGGCTGAGGGTAAGTATTGAGTAATTACAGGATCAAAAGGGTGACGCACATACAGCAGGTGTGAAGAAATATATAGATTTTTGCACTTATGCTTCAACTTCAAACATCGGTGATGAAGTTTTGAGAGAAATACAGTGCATTTACCAGATGCTGATAATAAATATACATGGAACATTCATGATATATTACTACTTTGATCTGAAACAAACCATATTGATCTTAATCTCAGCGGCCTGGGCCTCAGGCCTGTGCTGATCTGTACTGCACAACCCAGAAAGTACAGTCGTCAGAACAACTCTACGATTTATAGCCAGCCGGGCTCACCTGTTTCATCCTATTCAAATGTAACCCTGCCCCTAGGGGAGGTAGCGACACCCCTGAGTTACGGAACAAGGAGGTTCCTGAGAAGACACATTGTTTTTTTCTGACTCAGCAGCATTAATGTGTGGGTAAGAAGCCTGTCTTTAGCGCTCCTTTATTACCTACCCCATCTTTCCCCCTTTCTTCCTCCCTCACTCATCAGCACTCACTACCACTCAAAATGCATCCTCCTCCTATCTCAACTTATTCTCTTCTCTGACTCTTTCTTCTAGTCAACTGTGGGCATTCACAATAGCACTTTCAGGTTGTTTTCTAAAAATCTCCCTTTAAACAAAAAAATGGAAAACAGCGACAAAATTGAACTTCTCCCGATTTCTGTAGCATGTGGCCATGCACTCAGTTCCACTGTGTTCTGTCCAAGTGTTGTAAGATGTCAGCAGACTTTACTCACTTCAAAGTGAGGCTAATAACTAGGATGGGACTGACCAGGGGGTAATTAGGAAAACCCAAGGGCCTGCTGACAGCTGTTTTACACCGAGAAAGAGATAAGGCCAAAAAATAATAATAATGAAGAAACAGTAAGACATTGGTATGAGAAAAGAATAGCAAAGAAACATGTGACAGGATAATGTGAGAAATGACAAACAGCGAGGTGATATGAAAAGACAAAAATATCCTGTGAAGTATAAAGGGTCAGCTGTGCAACTGATCATGCAGTGAGACAAGCAAAATTATAGAGTTCTCCTCACAACCTCTCTGTAGTTCTGGTAATAAACCTAAAACGTTTCAATATGTGTCACCAAGGTTTAAGTCAGGTGGAACTTTTTACGTCGCCCAATTTAGGTCAAGACAAAAGGTCAGCTTAAAGTGACGTGAAGGAATTTCTTTTTTATTCTAAAAGAGAATAAATGACATGTTTTTTCCTTAGAGCATTAAAACCTGGCAAAGCACATTGAAGGAGGCATTTAGGCGACAATGAACAGCATTGTCTTTGAATTAACTTTTTCTGGGACAGAAGGTGGTAAAACAAAGTAAACACTGGATGTCCATTTGAATTGGATTTTGCAAAACAAAGTTTCTCCACTGTTCTCCCATATATTTCTTTCAACTCTCTAAAGGTCTTTGTTGTCCACGGGTTGTGGCTGAAATCTTCAACTAATAGCAGTTTTTAGTTGCGGTATTACATCAGCATTTCCTGGCCAAGCATGGTACGATGCTCTGTGTTACTGGCCACATAGACAGCGAAACTTCTTATGTTTTTCTGATTAAGTCTCACTAAAGTGTGAGGAACGGTAAAACAATGAGTGCTTTCCCGAGTTGGAAAACTCTACGTTAGCGCAGCCTTTGAGATAGGCATAAATCATTTTCACACGACCCAGAAAGCATTAAGGTGAATTATAGGCAGCAATGGAGGGAAGAGGGGCGGGGGCACTTGGGAGACGATCGTGTATTTGGGAAGGGGGTTGTGTTTGCCAAGAATCCTGTTCCCCCACGGTGTAAATCACACCGAAAAATAGTCTCACAAACACATGTAAGCACACAACCACTCCAGTTACACAATTCAACTGTAACCTTGTAGCCCCAGGAAGCCAATGTGGGCCACTACGTACTTGAAGAGCAACCATTTGTTTCTTACCACACATTTCTGATCTTACACCTCAGAATTGTATTAAAAACATGCAGATAAAAACACCCACTCCTCACCTTGCACTGTAAGGTAGATCCGCTCTGCCATCACCCCTCCTTCGTTTATAGCGATACACTCATACCAGCCCGAGCGCTCTGGGGTCACAGGGTTCACCTGCAACGAGAGGTTGGACAGGACGAGGACCTGTGGGTCCAGCCGGGCGTCGTGACCCCCCCTCAGCCAGGTGAGGTTGAAGCTGACGGTGCTAACGACGTGGCAGGTGAGGACAGCGCGGGAGCCGGGGGCCGCGGTCACGTTACCCCCCACTGTGATGGCTGGAGGCGGCTCTGCAGTATCAGGACATAATAGTGTTAGCAGATGCCAGGAACTTTACATCATAAAGAAACAGGAAGTCAGAGCAAGTGGTTATTTTCCTACTGACATTTCACATATGTAGAGGCATGCAATATTATCCAGTCATTGGGAGGAATGTTGCAGAACATAGTGATTTTTTGAAGTCACAAGTTATTCGATATTCTGCATTACAAACCTTTACTAGAGGCACAATTTCTCTGGCTATGGTCTATCGGTTTGGGTCATTCTTTATTAAATGTGTCTTTTGCAAGTTGAAAAACGTACTAAACAAAATCTCTGGAGTAACGCTTGAACAAAAAAGGAAATACAACGTTTTTGTTCTATTTGTAGGAACTACATATTTAGCTTGTTTAGGACCCACCTCTTTAATCTACATGAGCAATTTATCTTAACCATATTTCATCACCAAAATCATCACATTGATGTCTGTCAAATGATGCTGAGTTTGCTTTGGTGTAAGTGCAAGAAAAGTTTTATCATCATTATTCATCCTCTTCATATCTAGTTTTTTGTTCTTTTCCTCTATCTCCATTTCCTTTGTCGCCATGTCAAAAACACTCCTCAGTGTATCTTTAATAACGTTTTCAGGGCTGAGCCAGGGAGAGGTAGCAGAGTCTTTGGCTCTGATACAGGGAGGATGCTTGGGATTTCAGCACAGCCCCTTGGGATTATATGTGTGTGTCTGTGTGTATGTTTTGTATGTTTAAATGTGGAGGCCTGTGATTCTGTTGGGAATATCTCTGGCCCAGTAACAACATTTGTGGCTGAGTAGGATTAATTTCACCTAATTTTATGGACGTCATCAGCGGTACATTTGGACAAACTAAGTACCCTCTCCCCCTTTGGACTGCGAACAGGGTGGGTAAGTTACAGTATCATGAGTTACGCTCAAATATTCCTGGCTTAGTCTCTTCTCCTTCTGTTTCCAAAGCGTCTTTAAACTACCTCTCACTCTTTTTCTCTGCACTCCACCTTCTTCCTTTCTCCTTGGCATTCATCATATTGATGGAGCTCCAGTGAATTTCACAAAGCAGGAGGTTTTTTGGAAATAAACATTTGGAAAAGAAGGCTTTTACTGACTGCATTGGGACCCGAGGTGTCAGCTCTGAGGCCTCATACTGGAAAAGGATCAGATTGAAAAATAAACGTACTACAGAGAATTTTGGAAAAGGGAAAAATGTGTATTTGTTCAAGGGTATAAATCATCTTATGACCCCTCTAGTTATGTCTGCACTCAAAGCTTGTCATGACACAAATAATGTATTACCTTGATTATGAATGTTTCTGTGAGATCGTAAATTGTATTGCATTTATTACAGCGGTAACATCAGAGAACTTGTGTTTAAAATAAGCTGTTGTATTAAAATGGTGCACCCAAGTCACGGTTTTGGCAGCCAAACTATCATTACACTGCGTTCTTCTTGGTGCCTGGAACTTATTTACAACTTGTTTTAATATATTCTCCTCTTACATCATATTTACAGTCCATTGCTTTTCAATACAGGCACACAAACCATATCATAAACTCCACGACATGATCGCTGTGAAGCATGTATTACAACATCATGTATGGGTCAAATTTTCCTTAAAGCTACATTAATTCTGCCAGAATGTAGGTTCTCTGCGTGGGATCCACAGCACGAGACTGTGAACCCTATGAAATACAACCCACATCATCTGGTGCTTAGATTCCAACCATATGTCCATAAGTACTGTAAGTGTATGAGTTGTACAAGTGAGCATGTGAGTAAACCTATTGAGCATGACATAAACTTCATCTTATTGCATCGGTTCACTCAAGACATTTTGTGTTTTTATACGGTAAGTGTTATCTCTAAACATTATACAGTTCAATAAAGATACGTTGAAGGCCAAGGGAAATCACAAAATTGTCAATGTGTTTTTTTAAATGTACTGGCAGGCTGCCAGACTGCCATGTTGCACCGTGGGGAACGAGGGAAATAGAAAACAAACTTGCAGCCTACATGTCATGTGCAGAGAGCATGTTGTTAGTGGTATTTAAGAGTAAGTAATAAAGCAATTAGGTTGACTAATGTTTAAGCGAGTAGATATGTATGCTGTATCATACAAAAAAGAGCAATTTAATTTCAGTTGGACTTTAAATTGCTCCCTGCCCTGCGAGTAGATCCATCGCACACCATTTGCACTTTTTGACAGTCTAATACTTGCCAGCCCTAAGCATTCCTGTCTAAGAGTCCCGCCTCATTACACACAGTGATGGATGGTGGCTCACCAAACACTGTTGATGAACATAAACTACAGTATTACAGTCCATTTACAAAAGTCAACACTGCTGTCTATGTAGCATGACTTTCTGCTATGTTGTAACAGTTTCGTAATACCTAATTTGTCTTGTTATTCGGCAAATGTATTATGCTTCAGTTGATTTTGTGTTAATAAGATGGGTACTAATCTCACTGTCAATAATACACCCTGTTGCCAAATGAATCTTGGTATGTGTGCTCACCTGATACATCCAAGAAGGTGTGAGCTCTTCCTGTCCCGGCACTGTTGATCGCTATACATTCGTAAAAGCCCTCATCCTTGAGAGTTACCTGGGCTATTTCCCATGATGCATTGTGAGAATCACTAGAATCAAAAGAAAGAACAATTTTCACTTTTGACGAGAATAATGCTGAAACCATTTGATCTGCTTCTCACTCAACTGGTGAAAATCCATTCAGATGTTATCATACAGTAGTGCACAGATTGAAATACAATATGTAAGTTTGAACCTCCAACAGAGTCTGGGGGAGGGAAGTATCACCGTTTGGATCCATTCTGTAAGTCTTTACGTCTGCTGAAAACAAACTTGAAGCTATAAATATATTTGCATCAAATGTGGAAACATTATTATTGTCCAAACACGGCCGATTTTTTCTCCAGAGCTAGTAGGGTAGTAGAATGGCAAACCATAAAAGTGCTGAACAAACAGTTCTGACTAAGCAGATGTTATTGACTTTAACAGATTAATCCCACGGCACGTTCATAAAATGTGACTTTAAAAAAGTTTGAAATGGAACATGGATAAAATAACAGTTACTCAGTTTTGGCAGAGGTTTGCATTTTACAGCATGCCTTTCTCTCTCGATATTTCACTTTTAGGACTTTGGGAGGAAATGAAAAGGTCTCCCTCATCTGGATCTTAAGATAGAGGGACTGACAGATTGTAAACTAGTTTGTGGCAAATGTGTGATTTGTGACATTGGGTTATATAAATAAAATCGGTTTAACATAACATGAATTTAATTTAAAAGACAGTCCCTGAACTGACACACATATTCCTCCCCAGCCGTGCTCACCTGAAGAGCTGATCCTCCCCGAGTCTACTCCCATCCCGGCTGAAGCGCAGAGTGAAGGGGATCAGGCTGTCTACCTGGCAGTGGACTCCCCCTCTCTGGAGGTAGTAACCACGACTTATGGCTGGCATCAGCACCTTGGGAGCCTCTAAAAGAGAGAGAAAGACAAACAAAGGTAATCATCCAATAACAAATAACAAAGCAATCCCTCAGATCTTCATTAAAGTGGATGCCAACCTGCATCACTCACCAGGTATCATGCTGGAGAAGGAAACAGTGGAGACTCTCTGGAACAGGAAACCATCGCGGTCATATCCTGTCACCCGCAGGAAGAAGGCCTGGTTGGGTGGGATGAACTCGGTGATGTTCCAGAGGCCTGATGGTTTGCGCTCAGGGTAATAGCGGATTGGCAAAGTTTTGATCACTTCACCCTTGATTGACAGGAGCTCTAGCCTGTCGGCCCGAGCAGGAGGTAAGAGCCCGGTGGTGTTCAGCAGGATGTAAGTAGGAATTCCTGGAAAGAGGTTCAAACATATACTGTACACTTTAATGTCCCAAAGCTAAAGGTGTAAGTGAACACAACAGGTGAGGCCTTTTTTTTCTTTTTACAATTTGGTAAGGTTGACCTCACTGACCTTGAACTGGCCTAATGGAGGTCTTTTTGAAGTCCAGGGTAGGCTTTCTGGAGAATCCGGATCGAAAGTCAATGGGGCTGAGACCTGAGATGCGAACCGAGTGTCTTCCTTCACTAGAGGTCTGTATCAAAGAAAAAAGGGGAAATATTGCTTTACAGATACTTTATTCAAGACTCAGACTAGAATGTCTGAAAAAGTAATGGTTATAACATCTGTGTTTATGGCTTTATTTAAAGATTTTCAAGGTTTGTATCAATACAAAAACAACCACTTTATATGGCAACATCTTCAGAAGTAATAGTTATTTGGTATAAATTGATTTATTAAAAACCCAGGCTGACACTTGATACTTGATACCGGTTTTATATAACTCAGGGAGACAAAAGGAAGAAGGGTTGTTGCATCAAAGGCAGCACTGAGTGGTCCAAATGACAGACACAACACTGGGCCTTGTGTAACAGCCTTTTGTGTGCCAACCATCCCAGCATGTATAGACAAGCCATTATAAGTAAGTCAAGTCTGAGTGTCGACGCTTAACACCATAGCTTATAAAACATTCACAATTCAGAGATGACCCACTCATTCTGACATTCATGCTTTAATTAAATAAACACAACTATAATCAAAGAATTCCTCATATGTTCTTCATCGTGTGGAGGTCTTTTGAAGCTTTGCAGAAATAGAGACAGAGTAATTACAATGAAATATAGGTTGGTGAGAGGGGGGAACTCCTCGTCTTAGGTAAAATACCTTGGAGGTTTCACAGAAATTGACTGCAGAATGAGGCACGCAAGCCTACACTGTCATTTGCAATTGCCTGACATGAAAGAGAATGTGTACATTTAAAATTACTGAGTCCTACCAGACATAAACTTAAATTCCCTGCCACAGAACACCTGAACACCAGCAGCAGGATAAAGCAGTGAATTAAGGCAGACACATAACACAGCTAGAGGTGACATTTCTCATACAATGAGGTAATACCGGGACAAAAGGGTTACGCCACAGCCTTTAATGCTAATGCCGGCCATCATGAAAAACAATACATGTCGTGGTCATTAAACCTGCCCTAATGGTTGCCATGGAATTATCCTGGGTCATTAGTTGGTTGTAAATGAGGCCGTAATTAGGGGAGAGGTCTTTTAAAGGTCACAAAAGACAAGAACAGTCATTAAAGCTACTAATTTCCCAATTTCACACCCACACAGACAGATTGACTAGCGGCCGGTCTGAGATAAACCCTCACTCAGCAGAATCAGCTCACGTGTGGCTGGGGGGAGTTAAGTGGTACGGGTTTTAACGCCTGATACTTACTGATGGGATTCTTTAGGACACATGCAAAGAGAAACACTATTTTAAAATAAGGGTTTGATTTTCTTGAAAGCTGAAACAGACTCAGTATTATTATGAGTCATAACGTGACATCAACTTTCAAATTGAACACAGGATTTACCCATCACTTTTAAATGCTAAAAACGAAGTATCTGAGATGAGTTAACGGTAATATTAAATCCCATTTTATCAATTAACTTCATGTAGGGCTTTGAATTGCCTTTTTATCCAAATACATCTTAAGGGTTTTAATGATTTTTTTTAATGTAAATGTTTTAAAACAAAGTTGTATCCTATAAATCTATTAAGAAAGCCCAGTTGTTAACCATAATCTGTAAAATATAGGTGTAAGCATCAAGCAGCGAGTTAAGTTAAGTTGAAGATGTTGTGTTAAGTCTGAATACATTGTTTAATATTTGTTTTATACTCTCTTTAAGTCATTTAAAATGTGCGTTCTGCTTCTTTACCCCACATATTTAGATAATTTGATATGTTCTTTTGTCTTCAGCAGGATACCCGGCTGCTGTCTATTTACTGGACAAAATATAAATAAAAAGTGTATGGAATAGAAAAAGCAGACACAAAGAACAAGGGAATGGCAGATCTTCCTTTGAACTGTTTTTAAAATTACAGCCTTCCTAAACTATCTTCATGGGCTATAAAATTCAGTATGGAGCTTAATTTCACAACGTTGAGGTCACAGGAGGACTCATATACTGAAACACAAATACTCACAAACACACGCACATTGTATGCACACAAAACAAACACACACGCACAACACATTTTCACATTTTTAACTGGCAGAAAATCTGTTCACACCTGTGATAATTTCCTCATAGTGCAAAAAGAACATTATAGTATGTCTTCTGTTTTGATTGCCAATACAGAATTGGCACACTGATTTCATGAGTAGTATACTGTATACTGTATTTAGCACAAAGCAGCAATGTAAGGTGTACAAATATGGGCCAAAGTGTAGGAGGGTGATACAGGGGTAAGCCCACTTTCTACAGTCCAACATACATAACATCCAATTAAGGGCAGATTAAAATGGATCAAATTCCTTTTCACATACAATCTGTGGCCCGGGTCCTACACTGGGGTGTCATGGGCCATTACACAGTGGACAGTGAAATCTCCCTGAAGTATTTATCCACATTTCTTTCCTGGGAAACACAGCAATAGATGAGAGGGAGATTTTGTAATCTGCAAGCCAGATAGAGAAGTTTGTGGGACTGAGTCCAAGAGGAGAAACAGGAAAAACAAGATGTTTTGGGACTGAAGAGAGAGAGAACAGAGGACCCTACTGTGCTCCTCTGGAGGAGATAATTAGAGGAGTACATGTGTTTGGAGATGCATGAGGAAAGAGAACAGTGACATAAAGAGATTTAAGAAGAGACAGGGAAAATCTATTTTTCTGATATCCTTCAGCACTTCTGTTACCGCCTTGTTACAGCGCACCATATCAATCGGCTGAAGTCTGAAAGCAAAGACCTTAACGAAAGACTTCTGATAATAATCTGATTTTAACAGCCCTCAATGTTTAACTGAGAAATGTTCTCAGCTCAATGAGCTCCTGCCAGTTGTTCTGTGTGTGAATAGAGAAAGGGCTCTGTGCACCGGTGTTTAGTGACAGACCGCAGCATGAGGCTAACCTGAGGGTTAAGTGCAGACACAGCTGGAAAGGGCTATTCTCCTTATAAACAGTAAATAATCCAAAGTCCAAAAACAAAAATGTATTATACATAGAATGTACATTCCACATCCATGTTAGCTAATTGAAATACCTTTACTTCAAGACAATTGAATGTATGCACACAGCGGATTTGCCTTAATGCCGTTACTGCCTACAGTGAGGGGATTAAAGAGGAATTAAAAGGGATAGAAAGAAGAAGAGGCACAATAAGAGGTAGACACTATCGTCTAGTCAGGAAAGTTTCATGCTGTACAAGATCAAAAAGAGTGTGTAGAGGGTGTAAACGTGCCAGAATAAATCATGGGAAATCCAATCCTTAAGGCATCCTCATCTCCTGCACTTTCCTTTGGGAGGAAACACTGAGACGACACAGTTCTTCGTCTAATCTCTTTCCCTTTAAATCACACACATAACACAGCTATGCAGAGATGAGGGACATTTCCAAGAAAGAGTCTACAGAGAATACAGGGGCCACTGGGGCCCATTCCACAAATCACTCAGGAAAAAATGCTTGTCATTTTCCAACAGCTGGCATTGACAGTCCGTGCAGTCAAAAGTATGACCCTTTTGCGTTACCCTGACAGTTTCAACAAAACCACAGCAAAGGGTGCCCCAAACCAAATGTAGCTGCACGTGTTGACAGCAGTGGCCCTGAACATTCTTTTTCTTCATCTACCTGAGGACTGTCTCAGAGCTCAAATGACCATGTTATTGTTTGCTCAGAGATGCTTTCATCAGACATCATGCATGTGAAGTTGATTACATATCACTGTATCCTAACATGCTGAAACGCTACTGCAGTAATTTAATTTAAGAACCATCCTCAAGCGCACAGCTCCCTCCTGGGGTCTCAGTTGTGATCTTATTTCAAGGTTACACTACTGAACTATTTGCAGTAAGTCTTTTGAAATGACAGCTCAGCTCAGGGAATTGTGAGGTAAAGCATGTAATTTAACACACATTCCCTGAAAAAATGAATTGTTTACCTTGATAGACCACATCCCAGGCATTGGGTCCTTGATGTTGACAACTTTGGCGGAGTTGGGAATGTGCAGGAGCTCAGTCAGGCCGTCACTCTTTCCCACCAGCTTCCCTGGAGGCCAAACATTAAAACTGAGACATATATTCACCTTTACTGCAGCCTTGAGTGATCCAAATCATTAACACTCCTAGCATGGTTTTAAGTTATCTTAAATATTGAACGTTGGTTTTCAACATATAGAATCAACCCATTCCTATAATAAAGATTTTTATTATTTTTTGCACTCACTTTAACTTTACCTCTCTACTGTATTTCAGCTTCTACAAGTTCCTTTCTTCTTCACTTCCTAAATGGTAACATTCCTCTTATTCTTTAAACTCTTACTGTATGATTATCTACAGTCTAAAAAAAGCTTCTATTTGATTTAGAGAGACTAACACCAAGACATTAAGTTTACATTAGGATTTGATATAGTTTGTCTGCTTTCAAAATCCACAGAATATCTATTCTGGAAGTACCTGCATTATCCACTTGTGAATCAATATCTAAACAAAATTATCAACGGGGGAATAGTCCGCTAACTGTTTTTGTTTGTGGTAAACTGTTTCTTTTTGTTACATTTTATAGTGATTTTTTTGTATAAAAGTGCTCGTAAATAAATATTGTGGTCTTTCCTTTTTAAATGTCGTCACGCTTTTGGTTCATTTGTATATATAAAAGAGGGACACATTTCGAACCTAGAGTTGCTTCTGCTGCTTGTCATTCTCTTTCATTTTAAAATGATTCCCTGTAGCAAAGAAAGATACTCGTTTCAAAAGATAGTTCCTCGTTGAGTGATATTACAATGTGGAAGAAAGCCATGGATTCCAGCTTTGGGACCTTTGATTCATGTCTTAACCCTCCCTCTATTTCAATTATTTCTACCCTGTCATTTTTCAAATAAGGGCCAAATGCCCCAAAATAATCAAAAATAAATGAATAAAAGGTGTTCAGACGGGTGGAGATCTGTTATGATGACCATAACATATGATTCATGCTGTGCTTTTTCACTTCTGTTTTTTCATTTTCTTTGTCTTCCTTCTACAGCATAATTGCTAAAACATACACCAATCTAAACAAGGAATACTCTTTGACTGGCAATTGGGCTTATGTATGGTAGAACATATCATACCCTGGGGGTTCTTTATCTCAATGTTAGGTGCTAGGCCACTGAGGGCCACAGTGACTTCCTTCAGGCTGGGGTCAAAGGGTATCTGCCAAGTGTTGCTGGCCCCACTAATGTGATCAGTAGACAGCAGGTGGACCTTAGATGACTGCACCGCCTCCTCCACCCATTTCAGAACCTACAGCAAGGGAAATGTGAAAATTCAGGAAATACACATCAGTTAAAAGGGGGGAAATGAGCACATCGCTATTATTGTATAGAGGCCACATAAACAATGCTAAACAAATGAAAATAACATGTAAAGAAGTATTTGTTATCATTTTTATACAATAAATCTGCCAACTGAAAGACACGCACACACACACACACACACACACACACACACACACACACACACACACACACACACACACACACACACACACACACACACACACACAGAAACAAACACCCCCTCAGCTGCACACAAGGTCATACCCTCCACATGTGCAAAGCTCTTTTCAGGAAGTTTCTAACATTCCCCCATGTCCTTCCCCCCTGTTTTCCCCCTGTCCCTATGGAGACTGAACAGCTACTGTGTGAGACCCTGACCTATACGCTATTGAACCCAAAATATGTAAAACTTTTTTTCTTACGTGATGGTAATATGATACAGCAAATGTAAAGTCTTTGGGTAAAGCTTGGTGCACAGGGAAACATCATTGACTCAAATGTCATACATTTAGAGAAAAACACTGCAAACAAAAAAGCTATAGTCACTCTTGTTAGTGAAAAAAGAGTGACTATAGCTCTCTTCCATTCAGTGATGCCCTTACCTCATAGTATTAAAAAGAGTGACTATAGCTTTTTTGTTTGCAGTGTTTTTCTTTAATGCTTCTAAAAACAACAAAATTAAGAAATGAAAGTAAAGCACATGAGTCTCATGCAGATTTAGATGTCATCTTTAACAGCGAAACTTTTTAAACTTTAGATTTTGTCCAGTTTTATACTGCTGATTTACACTTCTTGGAAACGTTAGAAAAAGCCACGGAATGCATTAATCAATCAAATGTAGTCCTGCACATTTGATCTGGATTTCAGACATGCTCAGTTAACCTTCTACTGCAATCTCATTCACACAGCTTAGAGGTAGAAACCAGGCCAAGCTGAAATAATTTGAATAAGGTGACCAAAGCATGTCTATTACAAGAACATTTCCATTCAGTGATGCCCTTACCTCATTGACTTGCTTCTTGTCAAGATGGAAGACCTGCCCAGAGCTGGTGGAGGCGATCTCCTCGTAAGCCTTGTAGCCGATGTGAGTCCTGTCATCACAGTCCCCGGTCAGCACAAACACCACCTATACACACATGTATGTAAAACTATTATAGCTATTTGTCTCTAAATCTGTAAAACACTTTAGATTGCAATGCTATCAAACCTGTGACTGCTTCTGCTGGATGAGCTGCAGGACTTCATGGGTCAGCTTGTAATCTTTGGAACGGGCGTCCGTGAAGACATAAATAAATGATCCTGGCAAGGAGATCTCCAAAGCAATTTTAATGGCGCCAATGCTCATCTCTGGACAATCCCCACCTCCCTGAGAAAGAAAAAGATATCATCAGAAAATGGTGTGCATATATCCATGTTTGATTGATTTATTAGCCTCCAACACAGTCTTTTGAGTTCTACTGTAAATATGTTATATGCAGTATAAGGTAATACATGGCCACTTTATTAATCATACTTGAACAATGATCATTTCTACAAAAACAGAAAATGGCAGTACAGTTGAATTGTATTGGATTACATTATACAGATCTACCTAATAAAGTTGCTATCAAGTATATGTAATATATTATGATGATGCATTGTTAAATTACATGGATACTTTCAAAATTAAAACTTTAAGTAAAACTACTATTTTGCAAAACTCGGTAACGATCTGTTCACATTATTTGTCCAGATTAAAATTGTAAATACAAAAAAAAGGTTTGAAAGAATCCTAGGTAATGTATTAGCATCCTTTCATCAGCAATACAAATACCACCAACATGTTGTCTTTAATGCCTCAATGAACTTTGTAGCATTTAAAGATATGATGCCTAGACAATTGCTCCAACAAAATGACAGCCACAGCCAATACAGTCTAGGAAACAGCGTGATTTTATGTATAATTATGATTAAGTATTCAATCTGTATTGCTTATACGCTCTGTGAAGTTGTTGGGGTATAAAACAAATAGTGTCTGCAATATTGCACCAGACACATAAGGGGTTCAATAACCAGCTAGAGTAACATCTGGAATGGACTGACCCATCAATTTAGGACATAAAGGATCGGTGGGGACTGGAGTGTTAGGTGAAGAGACAGGAATCCTCGGTCTCTGCTGGACCCTAACATCTCCCCTCTAGACAGTTCCCCACTACCCCCCACACTAAGCCTGATAACCTCTCTGTGCACTTTTGTTCTTTTGGCTTGAAAATACAATATGAAATGCTTCTTAAAATCTTCACAGATTAAAGTAATGTCACAAGAATTTCCATTGCGAGAAAAATGCAATCCATCTATATTTTCCATGCACTCTGTCTAAAACGTATTCAGGGGTTGTCCAGGTGAAAAGGTGATAGGATGAAAAACAGACCCAGGAATGAAGCAGCAAGTGAGAGGAAGTTGGATCTCTTCCATCCTACACACAACACGCTCGCACACAAGATTAACTGGAGTACATGCCAAGGATGCACAGGAACTTGCCAAAATCTTTTTCTTCAAAGGACATTCTTATCTCTGTCCGTGTCCGTCCATCTCTCTGACAGACTTAGGCATGAAGAGTACCAGCTTTGCATTTGTTCTGCTTTGCTACACAAAAGTGTTTCGGCACAACTTCCTTTCTTTCTCAGAGTGATTACACAAACATTGGAACTCTGTTTAGCTGTCTGGCCATTGTATGTATTTGTTTATACATTTGTTTGTAATGGTGCAGGAAGGCAAATTAACTTGGCAAGAAGAACGTTTTTTTTTACTTGCAACATAAGGGCAACATATGACCATATGAATGGAAAGGTGCCCATAAATAAAATGCAATATTATTATTATAGCCAAGTGTGATAGTTGAACCCCTATAGCTACAATATATGAATGAGGAAAACTGGGAACATTCATCCCAAGTATATTGTAAAAATAAAGAGAAAAAAATATTGCTTGAAACGTTATTCAATGTCCTGTATACTGTACACTAACCAATCAGATGGTCTTAATCAGCTAACCCATGTTTCACCCATATATCTTGCATTGTCAAGGCCAGATGACTTAATGTTACAGCGATAGCATCCAGGCTAATGCTGCAGTTTCCTTCTCTTGATGAATGTGATCTCAGAACCCACCTGAACGTACAGCTCTCTCAGCTCATCCTGGAACTTTTTGGGGTCTGTTGTGATTGTAACGGGTCCAATCTCTGCAAAAGAAACAACAGCAAGAGGCTCTGTGATTAATAGGGCAGCAGGCTGAACTCTGCATCAGATGAATAACTCAAAGCATTTTTGTTTCCTAAATTCTTGTCCTTAGCCAAATATTGCTTTTGGCAGTTGTGGACCGATATCCAGATTCAAATGTCACAGTATAAACTGCAGTGAGGAAAGACTTCAGGAAAGGAAATACATTTAAACTAACAGAGAAAGGAGGGAAGGAAATGTGAGAAAGTTGCTTGTAGACAGATACATTAAACATACAAAAATAAATGACATGGAAAGTTGGAATTTACTCTTAAAATGTTTATCAAGACAGATTCAGATTCAAAGATTCAATGTTTTTAATGTCATATACAGTACACAGCTACAGTGTAGTTGAAATGAAAAACTTGGGTCCCAGGTTCCTCAAGCAATGCAATATAAATATATAAAAGACATAAGACACATTTTAAAAAACAATAACAAATTGTGCAAGCTTAGGTGTTTAGCAGTCTTATTGCCTGTGGAATGAAACTGTCTCTGAGTCTGGTGGTTTTAGTCCTGATGCGGCGGTACCGCCTGCCAGAGGGCAGCACACAGAATAGTTTGTTGCTGGGGTGATGGGGGTCTTTGATAATCATGTGATCCTTCTTCCTGAGCTGCTGGGTGTAGAGATCCTCCATGGATGGCAGCTACGTACTGGTGATGTGCTGTGCAGTTTCACCACCCTCTGTAGAGTCTTACGGTTGAGGGTCTTAACATACCAGGCCGTGATGCAGCCGGTCAGGATCCTCTCTATGGTGCACCTCTAGAAGGTCAGGATACTCTCTATGGTGCACCTGTAGGTCAGGATACTCTCTATGGTGCACCTGTAGCAGGTCAGGATCTTCTCTATGGTGCACCTGTAGAAGGTCAGGATCCTCTCTATGGTGCACCTGTAGAAAGTCAGGATACTCTCTATGATGAACCTGTAGAAGTTGCAGAGTATCCTGGAGTCCATGTTGAACCTCCACTGCCTGCGGAGGAAGAAGAGCTTTTGGGTGATGGTGTTTGTTTGATGAGTCCATGTCAGGTCCTCAGTGATGTGGACACCTAGGAACCTGAAGCTGCTGATTCTGTCCACAATGAAAATGTGAAGGTCTTTATTGACTTTAAAAAAGACTTCCAATTCTTTCTGTCACTAATGCGCCAAAGCTGATATCATCTACATGTCATAAACCAACATTTAGTTTAGATAGTAAGAAGATAATGGAGACAAAAGTGCTGATTGATTTATCACACAACTATCATGTTGGTGGCTTTTCTTTGGTTGCAGACAAAATACTTGTTTTATTCATGTATTGTTTTGTTGTCATTTCAAAGCCTGCTTTGGATTTTGCCAAAGTGGGGCCATCTTTCACTTTACCATAAAAGGAGAGCCCCCACCTCTATATAGGGACAACATGGCCTCTCACAGTGTTTCTCAACTTACTTTGTTCTATCCCTTAATGAGCTGCTAAGCCCCTTCTTGAGTGAAACTGTGTGACTTCAGCCACTGCAGCTGTGCTGTGGAATGAGCCTGATGAGGGGCTGCACCAAGCACACACACGTAGGCACACACACATACAGACACACAAGCACACACACACAAAAACACACACTGCAGTTTTGCACATGCAAGCAGATTGGGCAACAAGGTTTCCCTTGTTGAAGAGTGGGCAATTACAGAGGACCCCTTACTTTTGAAAAAGGATATTGAAGTTGAACTGTTTTACAACAGCCTTAAACTTTGTCTAGAGGCCAGGAGCCAAATTAAGAATAGTGCCAAAACTCTTTTAACATACTCAATGCTGAGAGCTTTTTATTTTCTTTCTGTCTAAAGTGATTTTTTTAAAGGAAAAGATTTAAGGCTGTTGAGTTTCACATCATTTTACACCACATGCAATGATGAATCAAAAGCTTTTTCTATTTCTTTTTTAAATGAGCATCACTTTACATTTCTTCTTGAAATGCACTCCACAGGCACCTTCAATTTCTATAATAACATACACAAAGAGGCAAGATCATTTTTCCAAATGAACCACTTTTTGGCATCCTTGTGAATCCTCAAGGTGGAGTGAAGGAACATTTGCTGCGATCAGAGGCACTTTTTAAACTAACATGGCAATGTGTCTGGCCGCTCTGAACGGAACATGGATCTCCTGCCAAACTTTTGTGAAATGGAAAATCTGACATCTCTTTCCTTATGGGAGAAGTTCCCATGGCTGTTGTAAGTATTCTTTAGACCGTTTTGGCAACGGTGATCCTAACCACAGCCACCGTCTTTACACCAGCACTATGGAAAACCAAACGTAATACTCATGAACTCTAAACAGTATCAGACATCACAAACCCCAACAAGAAAAGCCAGGGGTTAAGTGCCTTGCCCAAGAGCACCTCATGGGTTTTGTGTAAGGAAAGGGAACTCTTTACAGTATTTTTCCAAACACTATCAGAACCCTTTTTAGGCAAATTGAAAAATTTATTTTGAAAAACTCCCTTTTCGTACCACCTGAATATTCTAAATGAAACATGTTTGAGGACAAATGATGCTGACTCCTCCTACTACAGATATAATGGAAATCTTAATACAGTCTACTGGCTGCCACACAGGAAATAGTTTTAATGCTTTCTCTTTGATGACAAAGAACACATAAGTGGCATGAACATGGCCAACTGAATGAACTCAGTGAGAAAGAATGCTCTAGTCTAAAGTCTGACAAGTGGGACAAAAACAAAAGAGAGAAACAGACCTACACCTCATCCGTTTCTTCAATCTGTTGTGTTCTTGACACAAACAGACTTGAAATAAATGATCAAAATAAATACCTCGACTTTGATATTCCTCCAGCATTCATCCGTAATGTGGCTGTAAAAGGACGCATCTGCATATCACGTGCAAGCTTAAACAGAGACAGAAAGTCTAATGGGATGGAACATACTGGGCATCTGTCCAATGGCTAACTCCCCCTTACCTCCACTGACATTGGGCTTAAATTAATTTGCCTGGGAATCAATCAGGCATTCGTAACGGAGTAATTCTCTTTTTCCTTAGAACATCAGCAGCAAGGAATCTCAAGGCCAATGCAATGAAAGGTCACAGCCCTTAAGGTCTTACAACCATGGATTTTGGCATCCATTCATTAGACAGGAGAGCTTTGCAAGCTGCTACATGACAGACAATTGAAAATACATTATACTGACATTTCTTCAAAGTTGTGACAATGATATGAGGAGGCATTTTGGGAAAGTTATGCTCTTCATATGCCCTGTGCCTCCAAGACCTTCTGCCAAAGTGGGGAGTTTTTTTAGCAGTGGCAGAAATTACACTTAGGCTACTATCCTTTTTTCATTCCTGAAGGCAAAGAGCAGGATTACCCCGGTTTATAAGAGCCATATTACAAAGTTCGAGAAAAACAGCGCTGAAAACAACAGCTACCAAATGTACCATGGTCACTTCACTCATTCAGTTCATCAATTCCAGCAGCAAAACAGCCTCAATGGCGGTGATTTTTTTCCCATTTATAGGTGCCGGTTCACTCATCATTCAATATTTGAATTAACTAAACATACCCAATATGGTAATTATTCCAACTGATTCAATAACACACTGTATGTATGTTATTTACCAAAAAATTGACAGGTAAGGAAAGCTCTTCAGCTCCCCCCATCCAAAAAACCCCAACAGGTTACACAACATGTAGCTGTTACAGCACTTTGTGCCCGTCAGCTTTGAGGCATAATTCACTTAATCAGCCCAACTGAGAAAACACATGTGAAACAGCACATAGGGCTATTAGTTTGGCACAGTAAGGAAAATGTCCAGCACCAAACATGCTGCATGAAAAGGAGCACCCTCACAAACAAATGTTTTGTGGACAAGAGGTCAACAATGTTATGCTATTAAATTACCTCATTATGAGCAGCCACCACTCTTAATAGAGTGCACACATATGTAATGTTTCTCTTGGGAATAGACAACAAAACTAAATAGGTCTCCGGACACCGTATGCAAACTTGGGCAGCACTTAATTAACATTCTTTCTTTCATAATTGCTAATCCTCCTTTTATTCATAATGGTAACTGTTAACTTTAATAACTATTAACTCTTTTATTCCTTTTTTATTGCCTTTTTGACAGAGATACCCTTAATTATATTTGCTGAAATTGGCCTGCTTTACTTAGACACAGTGTTGAAACCAGCCTTTAAACATGTTCCCAAGTAGGACATTTCTGCCTTGTGAAAAATAACACGTGTTTTTTTTTTACCAAGCTCATGTGTTGTCTACTTAAAGTGGGAAAGCACAGTTGGGCTGAAGTGGTTATTATTCCTCTCACAAGATAATAATCTCTGATTGGATTGAATCTCTGATAATTGATTAAACATTTAGAAAATTGTGTGGACAGCGTACAGTTTACAAATGTCCATTTCCTGTTAGCCGTATGTCGGGTATATTGTCTGCGATGCATCACAGACTGCCAATATTCCTGGAGATTGGATTGCAAATCAGTCAGCAGGCCACAAAACCCATGCTCAGTCTTGCCTCTGTATTTTCTCTCTCCCAATTTTCTTTCGGTCCCTTAATACTGTGCCTTACTATGTGTCTCCCTCTTTTCCTACTTGCCCTTGCTCTTTTAAACAGCATCTTTTAACCTGCCTGACTTCAACAGCTGCTATTTAATGATGGAGGTTTAGCCTGGAGCACGGAGCTGACGACAGGCTTCATTTCTAACCACCACAAACTGAACTTGTGTTAGTAGCGACAGAGAGACAGAGAGCAGGACCACCAGGCAGCTAAACTCTGCGAGCTGGGCCGCTGCCTCTTGTTTCACTTCATTTTACACAATTGGATGTGTCTCGGGTATGTGCGCCTCAAACCCACAGACCTCTAATAATGGCACTCACAATTTCAAATAATCCCACAAATCCTTTCACACATAAAGATAAAGTGAAACCCTATTGATGCACAAACCACACACAGGCATGTA